TATTAAGGGTCAATAAACTTATATCCAACCACTGCTTAACATCATTAATATCTTTTTCAGCCTTTGTATATGTTTCATTCCAGGTGGCAGAACTGATCAACAACACCGTATCATCAGCAAAGCCGATAACTTTTGCATGTTTTGTTATTTTAGTTATTTCATTTATGTAGATAGTAAAAAGGACAGGACCAAGGACTGTTTCCTGTGGCATACCAAACTCCGCCGTAAATGCTTCACTAAGTTCGTTTTCTATTCTGACTTTCTGAGGCCTTTCACTAAGGAAAGATTTGAATGGCTGTAAATATTTTCCTTTTACACCAACATCATCCAGTCGTTCCAACATTATCTGGTGTGACACAGTGTCAAACGCCTTGGTCAAGTCTAAAAATATTCCTATTGTTTTTAGATTTTTATCTAAATCATCCACAATTTGGTCTGTTACCTGACACAGTGCGTTCTCCGTCCCAACACCATCCTGAAACCCATACTGTTGAGGAGAAATTACTTTATGTTTTTGCAGAAAAGAGATAAGCCTTGATTTTATACATTTTTCAATTAACTTCGATAAAGTGCTTGTTAGGGATATAGGTCTGTAGTTAGTCATAAGATTCCTTTCACCAGTTTTATAAATAGGGATGATTGTCGTTTCTTTAAAGGTAGCTGGAAAAATACATTTACTTATGATTGGATTGGTAAGATGTAACAGTGGTTGAAGTAGATACTGGGAAACATTTTTTAAATTTTAGGGGCAATGCCGTCATTGCTAGATGCTGTGGATTTTAGTGAATTTATTAGTAAAATCATTTCATTCCTTGTGATTGGTTCGAATCTACATGTAGATGGGTTTCTCCAAGGCTTATGACACTGCCAGTTGCTTTCCAATTGTACCAAAAAACCTATTAAACTCACATGCCATACCTCTAGCATTGGATATCAGCTGTCCGTCCTGTGTTTTTATGTTTTTTATTTGCAAATTAGTTTTATTTTGATTATTTATGTTTTTGATAGTCTTCCAAGTTTTTTGCGGATCACCCTGACACCTGCCTATAAGTTGCCTGTAATAATTTATTTTGGTTTTATTAATTTAGAGAGCATATCTCTATGCTTGAGGTAGTTATTACGGGCAATAACATCAGTAGGATTTTGGGCATATATTTTTTTTCAATTTATCTCTTTTTCTTATGGACACTAGCAGTCCAGCCGATATCCAAGGTTTTATACGAAAATTTTTGTTTGTAGTATGTTTTTGCTCTAATGAGAGGTTTATTTTTTGTTCTAATTTTTCCACAAAGGACCTGGCACATTGGTCCACATCCATTATCTCAAAAATGTCATTCCACTGCTCCTGCTCAAGCAGCCTTTTGAATTTTTCATAGTTTAGCTTTTCTATAAATTTGCGTGTGATATTATTGTCAGACTTTTGGCTAATATTATTTTTTGTTTTGAACTGAATAACTACTGGGTAGTGATCATGTGTGTCACTTACTTTTGCTCTTATTATTGCAGTAGACATTTGCTGCACATAATTATTTTTACTTCTAATAAAACAATGATCCAGGCAGCTTTTCTGGTTTCCCCGTTCTCTTGTTACCCCTCTAACTTTACAAGAAAAGCCATAGACTGCAAGAAAATTCAGATACCTATCTAGAGCTTTATTTTGGTTTTCCAAGAGATTAATATTTATGTCCCCAAGAAAAATGCTAGCATCAACTTTATCACACAAGTGCTCACCGAACAAGTCTTCCAGTGAACTTATGAATTGCAGCTTATCTATACCATTTCCAGCATTATTTCACACTAGTGAAATTTGATTTCAAATTCGCATTCACATCAGTGAAATCTAATTTCGCTCAAATGAAAATTGATTTCAAAGTAACGAAAACTAATTTCTCACAAACGAAATTTGATTTCACATTTTTGAAAATGAATTTCAAACTGACCTTAATTAATACTTTATTTTTCAAACATTTATTAGTTCAATTTGAAAAAAACATCAACAACGTTAATTATTTCAACCTTATGAAATAAACGCACTGAGTTTAGAAAACTGTGGTTTAGATAACATAAAATACAATCATGAAACAATAATAATAATTATGAATTATTTAAATAAATTGAACTTCAGTGTTGCAAATCACGTGGAAAGGTATAATGCAGCTATCTCAAGACTGAGAAGATTCAACTGAAGTTCAATTTATTTAAATAATTTATAATTATTATTGCTAACTGTTTCATGATGTATTTTATCTAAGTGAAGTTCGTGTCTTATCGGTAGGTATCCAATGAAGGGGGTGATTCGTCGGTTAGGACAAAAAAAAAAATAATAAAAAATTTGTCTTTCTACAATTTTATCAATGTATTGTGATTTTGTTATGTGCAATTCAATGTTTCATCCTGAAAAATCTCGCACTATTTTTTAGCCCTGATGAAGCCCTAAACTTTTGGGCAAAACGTTGGCAAAGACTTAACAGGCATTTTATGTTTTTTTTGTCCTAACCGACGAACCACCCCCTTCATTGTATTTTATGTTATCTGAACTCAGTGGGTTTATTTCATTAGGGTGAAATAGACAACATTTGTTGATGTTTTTTTTTTTTAAATTAAAATATCTAGGTTTTGAAAAATGGGTATTAAATAGGGTCAGTTTGAAATTTATTTTCAAAAATGTGAAATCAAATTTCGTTTGTGAGAAATTAGTTTTCGTTACTTTGAAATCAATTTTCACTTGAGCGAAATTAGATTTCACTGATGTGAATTTAGTTTTCATTAATTTGAAATCAAATTTCACCAGTGTCAAATGTGAAATAATTCTGGAAATGGTATAGTTTTGGTGATCTATAGGTCCCAAAAACCTGAAACTTCCTATTATTTTTTTCCACAAGAACTTTCAAAAAACAGTGATTATTTACTTTATGTAAACTATAGTTCAAAAAAATATTAGATTTAACATATATAACGAATCCATCACATCTATTGTTGCAACTTTCATTATAAAGTAACTCGTAACCTGGTATTTTAAAATCATTGACATCATGAATTGGGTGGGTTTCAGACATAACTATTAAATCAAAAGGTTTCCTATATGCTTCAAAATAGACTAAAAAGTTATCTATATTTTTATATATGCTAGTTATATTAATTTGAATAACATTTAGATTAGTATCAGAGTTCGTTAAGAAGCTTGCCTCATTTAGCGAATCACAGATTAAAGTATCACAAACTTCGTAATCATCAAGAATGTCATTGATAGCCATTGTTCATCTTAAGGATATTTACCTGTTGTTAACTGTTAAGCACATTTTTTCCTAAGTAAGTAGCTGTTCGACATGTGCAAAGTCCTTTATTCGAATAGCATTCGAATTTTCTGCTTTTCGAACATAGATCTGCCCATTCTTCACCCAAACATTTTTTTTTTTTTTTTACGGATATGCGCACTCGCAAGGAAATATCCTATCACGCTCGAGAAGCGGCAAGTGCGCGGAAATGTCGGTGTATGTTGGTCTTGAAACGGTTCAGGTTGTAACCTGCAGGGAAAACCGTCGCAGGGAGTTTATTCCACAGCGATGCTGTTCTCCAGAGATATGAATTCTGATATAATGAGGTTCTTGGTGCCTCTAGTTTGACAGTAAATTCATGGTTACCGTCTGTTTGACGGGTTCGCCTGGTAGGCGCTACTCTCGGTGGAATCATACGTGCCAACTCTTCAGAGCATTTTCCGTGATAGTACCTGTAGAAGAGAGATAAATCGCCCACAGATCTGCGATGTTCGAGATCATCCAAGTTACGAGTAAGTGCGGGGTTATTGATCAGCTTGATAGCTCGCTTTTGCACGGTGTTCAAAAGCATTAAGGTATGTTTGGGTGCTGCACTCCATATATGTGAGCAGTACTCCATAGTTGGTCGAATCTGGGCTTTGTAGAGTGTCAGCAATTGGCTTGGTGTGTACAGATGTCTTGTACGAAATAGCACCCCCAGCTTTTGGGACGCCCTTTTAGCAATATCTGCCACGTGACTGTGCCAAGACATGTTGGTCTCTGCAGTAACCCCCAAGATGTTCAACTGACTCTGTAATGTGACAGCACTTCCAGATAGCATGATGTTTGGCTCACCGGTGCTGGTCTTTTTTGAAAACAGAGCTGCTTGGGTTTTCTGCGCGTTGAACTGTACAAGGTTTTTGTTACCCCAGTCCTCTATTATCTCCAGGTCGTTATTTATCTGCGATATTTGAGTTAGTCTAAGATGATGGAATTCACGTGCGGAAAGACCTGTGGGTGGTATGAGTGAGGAGACTACATTGCCATCGCCTGCAAAGCAATAAAGTGGATTTACTGTTTTATCTATGAGGTCATTTATGTAAATCAGTTCCTTTCTTTTCTTTCTTTCCTTTCTTTGGAATGGGTTGTACTGGGGCAGACTTCCATGATGATGGATATACTCCTTGCCTGTAAGACAAATTGAATAATTTTGCGAAAGTTGGGGTGAGTTCGTTGGCGCAATTTTTGAGTACTATTGCGGGAATGCCATCCGGACCCATTGCTTTGTTTGTATCTAGCTTTTTAAGGGATTTTCGTATTTATCTGTGACAAAAGGGTATCTCTGGCATACTATGGGATACCCTTTCAATGAACGGTGGAGTTTTTCCGTTTGGCACTGAAAACATTTGGGCCAGCATATTGGCTTTTTCCTCTGATGTTGTGGCTAAGTGATTATTTTTATCTGTAAGTGGTGGTATGGATGACTTGGTGAAGTTAGATCCAACAGCTTTTGCAAGAGACCAAAAGGACCTAGAACTACTTGGACAATTCAGCAACCTGTTTTTTATTCTTTGATTGTATGTTTCTTTAGCGGAGTCAATAGTAATTTTGCAACTATTTCTGGCTTCTTTAAATTCTGTGTGGTTTTGAGCGGTTTGTTGTCGTTTCCAAAGGTTATATGCTCTGTGTTTATGCATACCCAGAGTCTCCTTTTAGTTTTTTTGCCTCCATTAGCAGCTGTCTTACTTTCTTATCCAGATCCTCTGATATATATACTTTTTTCTGCGGCCCTGTGAATCCACACAATACAGTATCTAGGTTTTGTACTTTTTTCCTTGCTTCTATTATTTTATTCCGTGTTTCTTCACTAGAGAATTGCAGTAAAATTGGTTTCTCTTCTCGTGCACTAGGCAAAATTGTTGACTTATATTCAGATTCCTGAAGCGATACATGGACAGCTTGAAACACCTTTTTTACTGTTCCACAGATATTTTCTTTAGTGAGTAATGGTCCGGAAAAGATTATGTTCTTTTTCTTTGTTTGCAATTGCTCTTTTTCTTGCTTATAGACCAAAAGTTCAACTTTAGTCTCGAGCTCCTTCACTCTTTTTTGTATAGCTTCGTTTCCTCGTTTCAGCTGTTTGTTTTCTTTCTGTATATCTTTAACCATCTTATTTGTTCCTTCAATTATTTGCCATTTAAAGTTTAGCGACTCTTCAAATTTTTCAAATCGTTCATTGAAGATTTTTACGACATCCTCAATATCCATTTTGTCACTGCCACCAACACTTCTTTTTGGAGCAGGATCGCGGTTGCCAAGATTAGTTGTACTTGGCCCAAAGCACTGGCTGAGTCGCTTGTTTGATACGCGCTTAGTTTTCTCTGCCTCAGAATCCGAGCCATCTTCACTTTCGCTAGGGTTGCTGCATTTGGAGCAAACCCATAGCTCATCCATCTCTTGGATTGCGTACGCTGTAAACTCCAATGAAGTAAGCTTAGAGCAGTTTTTATGATAATACTCACTGCACTGTCCACAACATATACTGTGTTGTGTTTTTGTAACATTGTTGGTGCAATCTGGACATACATACACCTTTTTCTGTGGCTGAAATTTTACAGGATTAGGGTTTTTTCCTCCTTTTGAACCAGTTATTTTTCCCATTATGCACAATTATTATTGTAAAATATTTCAACTCAGGTGCTATTTGAGGTTAGAATTTGAAATTTTGCCCCTTAAAGAATATTTCAGCACGCCCCATATAATGGACTGGCACTACTACCACTACACATATACTTTGAAGTATTTTTGAGTATTTACTACTTTTTACTTTTTATTTCACTTGAAAATAACAATTTTTCCAGGAGGAGCCAATATTCACATTTTTATCGCAACATAACCTCACGATGAATTAGATTAAGAGAACATGTTTTTCGCCGATAAAGGACACGGTTATCGCGGATTATTCCGGTTCTATCATAACCGCGTTGTTTCAGGTAATGTAAAATTTGAAACCAGTAAAAAGTTTATCAAAATAAAATTGTAATGGAAGTTTGGACACATCAGAGAAAAAATTGTCAATGATGTTCATAAGGGGTGCTGCATATTTCTCGAATCCATTTCCATAGAAAGTTTTTCCGCTAGGCACTGTTGCCAGGTTAAAAAAATTGAATTCACCAGAAATTGGAATGAAAAATCACCAGATTTAAAAAAAAAATCACCAGAAATCTTGAAAGTTGATTTTTCAGGCTATATTACGAGTTGTAAACGAAAAAATTTAATTTTTTTACTTTGGATTTTTATTTCAAAATTTTCAAATTTAATTTCCCCGGAATCCGTCAGAGATGTTGTAGAATTGTAGCTCTTAATAATGGCTTCAAAATGATACTCAGTTGAAGTCGTTGGCATTTACAGTTTTTGACTAAATTTTAACTAAAATCCAACTTTGAGGCTCAATTGCTCTGAAAGTATTTGCGCTATCAAGCTTAATCCAACACTGATTTATAGAGAATTTAATGCTCTTTTCAACCATATATAATTTATTGTGATTTGCTCAAATTTAATGGGAGTATTGGCAACTGCTCCTAACCTTGTTAGGATTTAAAAAAAAAAATTAGATCTGAAAATTGAAGTTTTCTTTTTGATTTTTTTTTTCCTTTTGAAATCGAGATTTGGAAATAATGTTAGAGCTTTTTTCGACTAATTTAGTTCCGCTATATCGATTGGAAAAGTCAAAATTCAAAAAATCTGAAAAATAAAAATTTCGATTTTTTCAACTTCTTTGGATTTTAATTTCAAAATTTTCAAACTCAATTTTCTCGAAACCCGTCAAAGACTTTGGATCAATTTTTTGAGATTGTAGCCCTTGATAAGAGCTTCAAAATGGTCCTTAGTTGAAGTCGCTGGCATTCACGGTTTTTAAGAAAATCGAGTTTGAAATTTTTGACCAAATTTTAACTAAAATCCAACTTTGAGGCTCAATTGCTGTAAAAGTATTTGAGTTATCAAACTCAATCTAGCACTGATTTATAGAGAATTTGATGCTCTTTCCAACCATATTTTGATTTATTCAAAATTTAATAGAAGTATTGGCAATTGCTCCTAACCTTGTCAGGTTTCAAAAAAAAATTAAATCTAAAAATTGAGATTTTCTTTTTAACTTTTCTCTATGTTGAAATCCAGATTTTATAATGATTTTAGAGTTTTTTTCGACTAATTTAGACCCGCTCTATCGATTGGAAAAGTTAAAATTCAATACATATGAACAATAAAAATTTCGAATTTTTCAAAGGGGGACCCCTTTAGATTTTTATTTTGAAAATATTTGATCTTGGATATCTTAAAATCTATTAAAGATTTTGAATTAAAATTTTTAGGAAATTTAACTCTTGACAAGGGCTTCAAAATGGTATTTAGTTATAATCGCTAGCTCTTATGGTTTTCGAGAAAATCGAGTACGAAATTATTGATAAAATTTGGATTGAAAGTTAACTTTTTCGAGGAGGTTTTTGAACATCAATATATGATATTCTAAACTCCTTAATTTTCATCGCTTGCCGTTCGAAATAGAGAAAAGCTTGTACCGTGAAAAGAGTCTCTTAAAGTAGTACTACTAGGGTTGTCAATTGAAAATAGGCCCTTTTTAAAATTAAACAGACAAAGCAAGTTTTTTTCCTTCATTCTTTCAGTAACCAAGTGGCAAAAGCTTGAAGTTATCTTCAAAACTCGATAGTAGGAAATCGATATACTAAGTTCGAGTGTAAAAATTTTTCGATTTCATTGAGATTTCTGTGGATTACTAAATGCATATTCCTGACACTTATTGTACTGGTTTTCCATCAACTCATAAGAATTCAGTATACTCATCTAGTAAAATTTTTGCATTTAATAAAAAAATTTCATCATTACCAAAACTTCGCCTTTTTTATGTGTACATTCAAACCTCAGCCCTTTCTCGACCTATGTATTAATTTTTGAGATTTTTATCCCACCTATATTTAATCTAACTAACTGATCTTTTTTTTTTAGGTTTATGATTAATAAATATCTAGAGGATGACATCAAAAATGAAATAGAAGAATCGGATATTCAATTGATAGATTCAAATAAAGGAATATCTATTAAGGATGAATATTCAAGAGATGCCAATTCATCAAAACCAGATGTTTCCAGAAAATTCCAATGTTACATTTGCAATGCTTTATTTAAAACTAAATCACATTTGAAATTTCATTTAATGACACACTTCGATATTCGTCCTTTTGAATGTGACACTTGTAAAGCAAAATTTAAACAAAAATGCGTTTTAAAGAGACACCAATTAATACATTCGGATATTTATCCCTTTGAATGTAACATTTGCAAAGCAAAATTTAGACAAAAAGGCAATTTGAAAAATCACAAACTGACACACTCAGATATTTGGACTTTTGAATGTGACGTTTGCAAAATAAAATTTAAACGAGAAACCGAATTGCAAAGTCACAAACTAATCCATTCGGATCTTCGTTCTTTTGAATGTGACATTTGCAAAGCAAAATTTAAACGAAAATCCCATTTGAAAAATCACAAACTAACACATTCGGATATTTATTCTTTTGAATGTGACACTTGCGAAGCAAAATTTAAACGAAAACGCAACTTGAAGAGTCACCAAGTGATACACGCAAATATTTTTCCTTTCGAATGTGACATTTGCAAAGCAAAATTTAAACGAAAAGTCGATTTAAGGAATCACAAATTATCACATTCCAATATTTATTCTTTTGAATGTGACATTTGCAGAGCAAAATTTAAACTAAAAGTCCAATTGGAGAGACACAAACAAACACATTCGAATATTTATTCTTTTGAATGTGACACTTGTGAAGCAAAATTTAAACGAAAAAATAATTTGAAGGATCACCAATTAATACACTCGGATATTTTTCTTTTTGAATGTGCCACTTGTAGAGCAAAATTTAGACAAAAACGTTATTTGAAGAAACACATATTAAAAAAGAAAAATTCAAAATGCAACATGCAACGCCGGACTTAATTAATAGTTAATACCAATGGTAATTCGAAACAATATTCAATTATGCATTCAGCTAAATAGGTGTAAGTTTGAATTTAATGCTTGCTCTGTAAAATCTAAACGTAAATTTTTAGTATCCACAATGAGTTGATTATTGATCAACATTTTAACCAGGATTTTAATGCGTTGTACAAAAAGCGTGTAGAGAATATAGTTTTTTTTAAAACTAAGTTTAACATTAAGCAGTTTTTGTATTTTATCAATACGGGATATGGTTAGCAGGTTAAATTAGAAGAAAACCGCACTTAATGATAAAAGCAAACGGCTTTTAACACGTTAAGCGCCATGTGCCCACCCGTGGTCATCTCAAATTTATCTTTTTGGACCGCGTGGCCACAGGTGGTTATTTTGCATTTGCTCATTCAGTTCACATGGTCTAGTTTTCTCTAAGACATTTATTTTCACAAAGTTTAAAGTAGAAGGAACTTTATTTACTCACAGCCCCAAAAATAAAAATAGAAACTCTAAGTAAAACAAAAATAAATAAATAAATACTAACTCTCTCCCAACAAAAACATGAACAAAAAAAAAAGAATGTTCTAAGAACTCGGCGGTTCGGTCACTACTTCGGTCACCCACGGTATCGTCGCGAAAACCGTTCTGCCCTCCGATGTTGGAAATCGGCGACGATACCGGGCCTTAGGAGCTATGTGATCTGGCCTGTACTTGGCCAAAGCGGCAAGCAGCTCCTTGGGGCGGGTTGTCGAGTTGGGATAGCAAGTTAGGGCATCCCCGATGGAAATCTTGGTATCGAAGCCCTGGACCCCTGGCACCACTTCCATTTCCGGAACCATTTCGGTCTCTGTCACCACCTCCATGTCTTGAATTGTTCCATCGGGTTGAGCATCCCTATTTCCCAGGGAGACGTCAATGGTGGTGGAAACAGTCTCCATGGCCGAAGGATCTCGGACCATTCCAAATGACAGGGCGTTCAGGCTCTTCCTCATTTGTTCTACGAAGTCCTGGATCTGTGCCTGGTCTGGAACCGTTTCAGGTGGGTGGTTTGGAGCTAGGCCAACTCCATGTGCCAAACTTCGTGGAACATCCAGTTCCGGTCCTATAATACAGTCCATTAGCCTTTGGAAGGTGGCCGGTGCAGAGTGTAATCCAAAGGGCATAACCCGGAATTGGAACAAACCCATTCCTGGTACTGTAAATGCAGTAATCGGTTTACTCTCTTCTGACAGCGGTATTTGCCAATAGCCTTGTTTCAAATCAATGCTGGAAATGTAACGGGCTCTCCTTAGTTTATCCAGGATGGAGTTGATAAAAGGAAGCGGATAAGTGTCTTTTCGACTTACTGCATTTATCTTTTGGAAGTCAATGCAAAAACGGTATTTTCCATTTTTCTTTTTCACGTTTACTACGGGAGAACTCCAAGGACTGTTTGATGGTTCAAGTAGGGAGTTAGTAGGCGTTCTGGCTCAAAACAGAGACGAGACAAAGAGACACTCCGTCTACCTTTCAAGATATTACACACAATCATCCTCCTATGTTTTATGCTGGTTTTGTGCTGGATTTTGCTGCTTCTCACTGGTGTCGTGCTAGTTTTGACTGGTTTCGTGCTGGGTTTTCACTAATTTCGTGC